TCTCTCTCTCTCTCTCTCTCTCTCTCTCTCGGTCTTCTTCTTCGTCGTGGTCTTCTCTGCAGGTGCGCGGCGGCTTCTCCAACCTCCAGGTCCGCTATGGCGGACTTCTTCTTCTGGCGGCCACCTCAGCTATGGCGCATCAGGCCCTGCACACGACGGCGCGCATGGAATAGCGGGTACCAGCTCCGATACCAATGCAATCAGACTCGTTTCCATTCACACTTTTCATGCATGTAAACAGCAGCGCAGCAAACTGGCGACATGCGCCCACTCAAAACTCAGAGATATGGCTTCCAGATACGAGTTCACTTCCAATTGGCTATGGTGACTGAGCGCCCAAACAACTCACTGTTCACATACACCGGATCACCCTGGATATCCCACACGCGACTCTCTGAACTCACACACACACACATACACTACACACTAACTCTAGCTATGGCGGCTATGGCCACAACTACCCTATCGCTATGCTACGCTCCTTCCCTCTCGCCCACTTCAGCTCCGGGCTCTCTGCAGACCTCCTTGCACAAGTCGCTGTGGCAGCGCTTCCGCATGGCTCACGCAGGAATGAATGAAAGGCTGGGTGCTGCCTCTTGATTTATACTTCTGAAACTCGTTGGTCTGCCGTCTTCCATCGGCCCATGGTGCTCACGGTCCCTTGTGGTACTTGCTGGACCGGACTGGGACTGACTGGACTTGACCGCTGACTGAACGGGGACTCACTGCCATCCCACCGGACTCGTACTGCAATCGCACTGCGGTTTAGTCCACCACTTGACTCACCACTTGACCACTTGACCACTTGACCACTTGCCCACTTGCCGACCTTCTAGAAGACTACAGCTAAGACTTCTAGACTTCACTAAGACTTCTATCCTACAGGTCTACAGATCGAACCCCTGCTACCTACGGACCTATGACAGCCTATCAACTGTTTACGAATACACAGGTCACAGGTTCAACTCTCGGGGTCTACACGGGTACTGTACACAGGTTGGGCAAGGTCTAGGGATCGAACCCTGGGATCTGCGTCTGCTACTGCAAAGAGGTGAAAACCGTTTCACAGACAGGGGACGTCATGAATGAGGCGGTAGGGGATAAACAGCCAACCCTATCCAGAGCTTGATTCCCTGAATATCTGACTGTAAAAAATTACCGCTCTCAAAGCAATATGCAGCTGAATTGGGCAGGCGAAGGCTCTGTAGAAGTGCAATTTCACAACACACAAGGTTTATGAAACAGTTCCGAGGGAGCTTTATGACGAAAATCTTATGTCTGAGAAAGGTCTTTAGTTTTCCTCGCAAGCTTAGTGACATTGTGAGGAACATTTTCAAGAATCCATAGCAGATCCGAATCTCCGCCCCCCTCTCCCCCCCCCCCCCCCCCCCCCCCCCTCTC